TTTGCTTGTTTTCGAAAGCAGCCCGCGCGATTGTCCGCGGGCGCGCCCGACGGGATAGGCTCAAGTTACTGCGGGAATTTGGGGGGGGGGGAGGGGGAGGGGGGGCTCATGCGTGGCGTAGCAGATCACATGCATAGGGAAGAGCAGAGTCAGCTTAGGAAGCTTTCGACACTTTTGGGGGCGAAGGGTAGGCGTCCCCAATCGGGCGTGCCAATGCAAATGGGCCCGAAGGGCGTGGTTTTAGTGGATGACAAGCACGCTGCTGAGTGTAAGCTGGGCATTTGTGCGCGCGGAGCTTGCGTCAGTAGAAGCCAACGCGCAGTCGCAGCGTGGATGCAGCGAGCGCGTTGCCAAAGTGCCGTTGCCGCCCTTCCAGGATATCCAACTCGCCATGTCCCGCAGCAGTCTCGAAAAGGGGTTTCAAGGGAGCCAAGGTGGGCAGATTTTCTTGACCAGACAAGCTAGGTGATGCACTGTTCAAATGCGTTGCTGGGCAGGCCGCAGAACATTTGCGCTCTCTTGCTGTTAAGATGCAGCTGAGCGGGGTCGAGCCTTTAGATGTTCAAGGGGGATGGGCTGTCGCTGTCCCGAAACCAGGTCTTGAAAGTTGGTATCCAAACAATTTGCGTGATGCACTCGCGGCCAATCATGTTGCTAAGCGCAACTCCCAGCTTCTTCGTTCTAGGCTGGTCAAGCTAGTGGATTCGCTTTTGCGTGATCTACAGCGCGGAGGAATGCCCGGGGGAAGGGGCGGATTTCTCATCGCATATGATACGCGCGTTCATAGACTTGTGTAGACATGCGAGGACAACCGGAATCTTTTTCTCCTCATATCATGTCTGCATTCCACGGTGTACTCAGACAGTTGCTGCTCCGACTTCCTGGCGCGGAGGGAGAGTTTGAAGCGGCGGCCCGAGCTATGGCCCCCCCGCCTTCGCTCAGCCAGGCCGTCGCGCAAATGCTTTTTGGGGGCCCATGTTTGGCGCAGGATCGGGCGACATCAGCGCGGCGTTCCTCTTCCACACTTAGAAGAAGCAGTTGGCCGAGAGCCAGTTGGATGACTTGGTTTGGAGTCCAAGGGGCCGAACAAGTTGCGCGCGCTGCGGCAGGCGCGCGGCCGGGCCCGCCGCCTGCCGACAATATTTGCCCCTTAGCTTTTGCGCCGGCGCATGCTTCTGTCACGGGGGGAATGAACGATGGGGATCTTCTGACCACGACGCAGGAGCTAGGTGAGGAAACGGCACCTTTCTTCGCACCAGGACCAGCTGTGGTAATAGCAGAAGGATCGTCGTACGTAGATGACCTCGCCTCATTCGCAGGTTCTCGGGACGTTAGCCAATGGATGCACGCAGCACAAAGAACGATATGCATAGTGTATGAAGAGTTAGCAATCAGGGGGTTTATTTTCATTTTTAAAAGGGCAAAGCTGGCATCATGATAGTACCTGCGGGCCCCAAGAGTACCCAGACTAGGAAGGAGCGAGAAGCTTTTGGCGAGTGCATGCATGTTCCCGAACATGATTTGAATGCGCACATTTTCACGCGCTACAAGCATGTTGGAGCTGGCAGACGCAAGCTGGCGCCGTTGCCCCCTTGCGGGCCGACGTTTCTAAGGTTGAAAGGCTCGACCCCAAGAAGGGTTGCAGTATGCTGCGTCATTTTGCTTCGGCAGCCTTGGTAACAATGCACGCGCGTGGTCGCCACTGGACACTGCGACAAAAAATGACAGGCAAGTATATGTCGGTCGTGCGAGCTGCAACGGGCAAGGCATATGATTATGTTAACCAGAAAATGGCCTGCGACGCCGAGGTGAATGAAACTCTGCCGGTACTTCCAGCATCTGATATCATTCGCGTCCGAAGGCTACGTTACTCGCCCAAGTTGTTCAAGACGTGCCCCCGCGCGTTAGTTTGGATGCTAGGTTTACTAGTTCATGTGGAGGGTTCTTGGGTCCATGCGGCCACCGAAAACCTCGAGTGGATGGCTTCTCCTGTCAAGGTCCCTGAAAGGCTCCAGCCCGTAGGCGATGCTAAATGGCGGCCAGCTCTCGCGCGATATAATAATCCGAATGTCGCGTGGCCCTTGCAAGGGCAGCAGCGGATGTTAATTTAAATCGGCGATGCTTTAGTCAGTGGCATAAGGGGCTGCATTTGATTTGCAGGCAAGCGGCTTCTGAAAGCCCAGAGCGCCTAGAACAATTTGAGCCCGCGTGCCGATTTCCATGCCGCGACTGTGGCGCGATGCTCAAGACCATGGGCGCGTGGCGCCACCATCGCGCAGTCCGCCGCCCCGCTCTCGGCGCGGCAGGGGGCGCGGCGGAAGGCTCGCAGCGTCAGTCTTGCGGCAATGTTTTTTCAGCAACTTCAGACGGTTGAAGCATTTGAGGCACGGTTCCCCGCCGGCCGGCGCGCGAACAGGAGGTGCTCAACATGAGCTGGAAACAACGAGACGGCCAGGGAGATGGGAAGTTTTGGCCGCCGCGCTGATTTTGCAGAGTTTCGTGCGAGGCGTTTCGTTGGGCCCGCGCTAGAGGGATTGGGGCAAGACCTTGCTGTGCGGCCGTCTGGCCAAGGAGTTGAGTCGCAGCTCGAAGAAGCCTTAGCTCTTGTTATTCCCAGAATGCCTACAGCAGTCCGATATATTGCTTGTTTGTTTGATGACACGCCGTGCTGGGGCGCACTAGTTTCAAAGATATCTAGCGTGAGTTTGGACATGTCATATTGTGCTGTCCCTGTTTGTGTTGACAGGATACGGCTGACAGAGACTGACCAGCTCAAGGATCCGATGCTCAGAATTCGTTCCAGAGAAGTCCTATCTGTATATGCGCAGCCATCTTTCGAATCCTTGGGCGTGTCTAGGGATAGGCTCGTAGTTCCTCGACAGCTTTCAGGTCTGACCAGTTTATGTGGGGCATTCCGTGGTTGCCCAAACGTTTCCAGGATCAGATTTTTGGCGGCAGCGCAAAGCTTCGTTTGTCTATCCCTATTGCTTATGCATGTGCTGTCCACCTGTGTACTTGCTTTGTGTGCTTACCACGTGTTCCGTCAGACACATCGCCTTTCCATGTGCCCTAATTTCAATGACATCCGTGGATGTCGTATTTGGTTCGGCCGCCTCGCAGAGCAGAGGGGTTTCTGCGTCAACTCCGACATGCAGGACCGCCCCGCAGGAGAGTTGCGGGGCGGGTATCCCCGGGGGGGGGTCGGCGTCGAGCATCTCCGCCTCTCTCTCTATCTCTTTATTTCTTTCTGTTTGTTATTTCTTTCTTTCTCTCTCTCTCTCTCTTTCTCTCTCTCCTTCTCTCTCCCTCTCTCCTTCTCTCTTTCACGTTGCATGTTGTGGTTGGTGCGGCCACCTGATCTCCAGCGCTGGGGGAAGAAGAAGGAGGGGGAGGAGGAGGAGGATATGACGAGGACGAGGACGGAGGACATGGGCGCGACCGAGGGGCGAGGAGGAGGCGGATGAGGAAAAGGAGGAGCAGGAAGAGAAACAGGAGGATGATGATGAGGAGGAGGATAAGGACGATGAGGTCGACGAGGATGAGGAGGGGGACGAGGACGAGGACGAGGACGACGATGCGGATGACGAGGACGAGACGGCGTCTGGCGTGCCTTGGGTGAGTTTCTTAGGCCTCTTGGGGGGCCGCTCAGGGGGCCCTTGAGGCTTCTTGGGGCGCTCTTGGAGATCTCTTGGGGCTTCTTGGGAGTCCTGGAGGGCCTCTTGGTGCCATCTTGAAGGCGGTCGGTCAAATGAGAAGGGGTCCTCGATGTCTGCCCCCTCTCGGGGGCCACGATCCTCGTGAGGGGTGTCAGAAATTGGCCTCCACACTGGCCGAAAAAGGACCCTCTGACACATCGGCCCCCCTCCCCAAAATCCACGGAGGGGGGGGGGGGGGGGGACGGTTCCCCTCCCCGAAGGGAGGAGTGGTCGTGGAAGAAAACGATCACCGTTAGACCACCTGTCGCCCAAAGGGCTGGTGGGATTAGAGCGAGTGGGCGGGTGTGCCGTCGGGGATGAGTACGTGAAGCGCCCCAGCCCCAATGGCGCTGACGGATGACGGGTTCGATTGCATCCGGCGCCTCCATTGGAGAAGCCGCGCCCAGCGGGCGGCGCGGCCCCCCTTGGGAAGGTCGGGGGCGCGGGCGCAGGGCGGCCAGGGCCGTGCTGCGCTTCAGTGAGCTCGCAGCGCTCGGAGAGGAACGCTCGGGATCGCGGGCGAGAGGCACGCCGCGGGAGGCCGCGCACATTCCGCAGGGGCACCCGCGGCCGCACCCTGTTTCATCTCCTGGGGCGCGCGCTCTCTGCGCCCGCACACAGAAGGCCGATCCCTGCCGCGCCGCGCCGGGGCGCCCGCCGTGGAGGGAGCGAGAGCAACAGCAGCAGCAGCAGCAGCAGCAGCAGCAGCAGCAGCAGCAGCAGCAGCAGCAGCAGCAGCAGCAGCAGCAGCAGCAGCAGCAACAGCAGCAGCAGCAGCAGCAACAGCAGCAGCAGCAGCAGCAGCAGCAGCAGCAGCAGCAGGCCGCCAGCGCCCCGCGCGGCCCCCGTCCTCGCCGCCGCGGAGTGGACGTCGCGCCGCTGGCCGCGGCGCGGTCGTCGCCGCGGCCGCCGTCGAGCACGGCACCCGGGGCAGCACGGCCGGTGGCGCCCTGGTCGCGGGACCCCGGGGGGCCCCGGGGAGCGAAGCTCTCTGCGCCAGCAGCTCGCGGCCTTGCTCGGAAGCTGGAACATATATGCATCACCAGTGGCGGGCTGTTTCGCAATCCCACGTTTTTTCAAGGGTCAGGGGCGACTTCGGGGTGGTGTGGTGTGTACTTTTCCTCGGTTTTCCGGGGGAGACAGCAGCAAATGTATACACACCAGGGTCCCGTATACACCAGGATCCGCGTTCCTGTGCGAATTTCAGCGCAGGGTCGGAAAAAACGTCGGTGTATAGAGCTCGTTTCCCTACTTCCCCCCCCGCTCAGCCTCCCTCGCGCGCGGCGCCTGGCAGTCGGCAACCCGATGAGGAGCCTCGAAGGTGGCGGCCTCGACCTCCCCCAGCACCAGTGCCAGCAGCTGGCCCGGCTGGGCCTCCGCATGGACCGCGGCGGTCGCGCCTGCCCTATGTAGCCAGGGAGCTGGAGCACTTCCTGCGTCGCCACCCGCTCCTCCGCGCGCGGCTTCTCCTCCACCTTCCCTGGAAAAGCGGGGGATCTCCTCGACTACGTCCCCGACGAGGCCACCACCTGTCGGCAGGCGCAGCTGCATCCGGAGTCAAGTCGGGCGTGCTCCCCCACAGGAAGAGTATTCAGAAATGATAGAACAATAGTCTGGGGACGATCTGTTGAAGTGCTTTGCTTTCTTATAAGGAGGAGGAGGAGGAGGAGGAGGAGGAGGAGGAGGAGGAGGAGGAGGAGGGGGGGGGAGGAGGGAGGGAGGGAGGGGGAGAGGGGAGGGAGGGGAGGAGGGAGGGAGGGAGGGAGGGAGGAGGAGGAGGAGGAGGAGGAGGAGGAGGAGGAGGAGGAGGAGGAGGAGTATGTTTCGCCCAAGACCCGCCTGCAGGAGGACCTGCCCGACCTAAAATCTGCAGCTCGTTGCCCTGCCCCCGCGCGCCCCCTCGAGCGCCCGCACCGGCGCCCGGGCCCTCTGCCCCCTCGGCAGGGCAGCTGCGCCCGCCGCCACCTCCGAGGGCCTCGTCGCAGACGCGGGGGGGACGAACCCGGACCTTCCAGGGGGGCTAAAAAACAGCACGCGACTTACAAACCTCAGAGCTGTTCTATGTCTTGGTTTTAGGCTGCTTCGTTTCGTTTTTTAGGTTTCTAGGCCTCCCGTGCTGAAAAAAGTAGCTCTCTGGAAGGTCAGGGAAGAATGACCCGAGCAGAACCACTCGGGGCTCCGCGCGGGTTTCTCGGATCCGCGCCTGGGCCCCCGAGTTTGCGTGCTCCTGTCATCCTTCGTCCCCCCCGGCGTGGTCGAGGAGATCCTCGCACACGCCCCCCGCTCCTCGGGACTCCACGCCGCCGACCGCGGCCGAGGCCGCGAGGAGCAGCCCCGGGGCAGCCCTCGCTGCCGTGGGCGCTGGGGCCCGCGAGCCGGCGCTGCGTGCCCGCCTCGCGCCGCGCGTGCCCCGCCTTCGGCGCCCGCTCCCAGGGGGAAGCGGCCCTGCCGCGGGAAGCCCTCTGTACCCTGACCTTCCAGGAGGGCAGACAAAAATAGCACGCGACTCAAAAACCTGTCCCAGAGCCATTCTGTGTCTTGGTTTTAGGCTGTTTCGTTTCGCTTTTTAGGTTTTTGGGACTCTCGTGCTAAAAGGTAGCTCTCTGGAAGGTCAGGGTAGGTGCGGGACGGAAAATGACCACAGCCACTGCTTCTTGTCTGCGCCGCCTTCCAGCCGGCCGAACAAGAAGCAGGGGTTGTGGTCATTTCCCTGGTGGCGAGCTCCACGAAAATGACCACAGCCACTGCTTTGTTTCTGCGGGCTGGAAGGCGGCAACAAAAGAAAAGCAGTGGCTGTGGTCGTTTTCACGCCCCGTAGTAGGGGAACGAAGAGTGACATAACCATAAAAACTCGGAGGTCCGCGCGGATTTCTCGGATCGGCGCTGGACCCCCCTAGCTGGCGCGCGGAGCGCGCCAGGGGCGGCGCCGGAGGCGCCGCCAGGGCGGTCCAGCGCCGATCCGAGAGATCCGCGCGGACCTCCGAGTTTTTATGGTTATGTAATGTTTGCTCCCCTACGGAAGCCCTCTGGGATCTGCTCCTGATCTTCGAGGATGGGGACGTCGTGATGCCGCGCGACGGCGGGCAAGGGCGGCGCCTGCGCGCCTCCCCGCGGGAGCTCGTGCCGGCACCACCCGGCGCTGCGCCAGCCGCAGCAGCGGCCTGGCCGGGGGAGGCGCCGCAGCGTGAGCACGATGGGGCAGCGGCAGGCCGAGCAGCGCCAGCAAGCCCGCGGGAGGGGGCCAGCAACGACGGGCGGCGGCTCCAGTGCGCGGCACCGTTCCGGTGGGGCCGCGGCGCTCGTGAGGAGGAGGAGGAGGAGGAGGAGGAGGAGGAGGAGGAGGAGGAGGAGGAGGAGGAGGAGGAGGAGGGAGTGGAGGAGGAGAGAGGAGGAGGAGGAGGGAGGAGGAGGAGGAGGAGGAGGAGGAGGAGGAGGAGCAAGAGAAGGAGGAGGAGGAGGAGGAGGAGGAGGAGGAGGAGGAGGAGGAGGAAGAGGAGGAGGATGTCCAGGGTCGCGGGTGGTCCCCGGCTGGCCAGCGACAGCCGCTGTCGCGGCAGCCTCCAGCACCGCGCCGCACTCGCCCTCCGCCTCTCGTCGTCGCGCTCGTCATCCGCCAGCGGCGCGTCGGAGCGGGCCGAGGAGCACGCGGGGGAGGCCTCGGGAGTGCCCTTGCGCCTCGACGTCGTGCTCCGATCGCTCGTCGGAGGCCCCGGAGTCGGGAAGACCAAAAGGGCCCTGGCCTCCGGAGCGCCTCGATCGCCTCCCGCGCGTCGCTGTCGAGCTGATCCATTGTCGCTGGCAAGGAGGCGCGATTGCCGCCACCCGCATCGGGGTCTTCCAGCTCCTTCTCCAGTGTCCCAGGCAGGACGTCCTGGCGGCCAGGAATTTCGGGCGGATCCAGCCGTGGCGACGGAGCAGGGGTCCTCGGCGACATCGCCCGACGGGCTAGGCAGGTGGGGGCCATCGAGGGGAGCCCCAGGGGGGAATACCCATCTTGCAGTATCATTTTCTTTGGGCTGAAGCCTGGGTCACCTCCTGGATGGAACGCCTGAGGGGTCGAGGCCCACCAGCCGTTTGCCGCTTCTGACGGCTGCGGCTGCTGCAAGGGCCCCTCGCCGAGCACGGCCGCCAGCAGCGCCTCCTCGGGTCGGGAGGGGTCCTGCTGCACTCCTCCGCTTGGCGCGGCGCGAGCCAGCGCCATCAGTTATTCCACCGCTCACTGCACTCTCTCAATTGTCGCTGCAGCCCGCACATAGATTGACGTTGAGGCTGCAACTGATGGTTCACTGCTCGCTTGGCCGCCACCTGGCACGCTTTCCGCGCGGGGCGGACCTGTCGCGCCCATGGGTTCATCGCGTCGTGCATCTGCTGCTACTGCTGCTTCGCCGGCTCCACGCTCATAGAGCGTCCCTCGGCGGCGGCGATAGGGGCGAATAGCCCAGGGGCGGGCATTACACGTTTTCGCCCAGGAGCCTTTTCGAAGACAGATCGTCGGCGCACCTGAGTAACACGTAATGCTCTCCCCTGGGCTTTTCGCCCCTATCGTCGCCTCTGAGTCCTGCCCGGGCCGAGCCACTGGACGAGGCTCCATCGCGGCGCGCGCCTGGGGCCGGCCCGCGCGGCGCCCGCCCAGCGGGGGTGGTCGCGGTTCGGGCCCCCGATGGCCCCTGAGCCGAAATGGGTACGGACTCTCTTTTTCCTCCTGCTCCTCCTGCTCCCCCTGCTCCTCCTGCTCCTCTTCTTCCTCCTCTCTCGTTATCCTCGCTCCTCCTCCTCTTCCTCCTCCTCCTCCTCCTCCTCCTACTCCTCCTATCTTGTTAGCCTGCTTCCTCCTCCTCCTCCTCCGCCTTCTCCTCCCAGGGCTGCTGCATTCTCCTGGCGGGCTCTCTCCGGCGAGCCCCTCACACACAATTCGTGCCCCATGAAGCCCCCAGCGGCGACCCGCTGGCCTCCCAAGACAGCTCGGCCCCTGCGAGCTTCCGTTCGACGCAGCACTCGTGCACTTCGTGCCTCGTTTGGAGAAGGGAAACCGCACGAATATGAATTCTCGGATGTCCGCGCGGATTTCTTCGATCTGCGCTGGGCCCCCCTGGAGGCGCCTCCGGCGCCCTCCTTGGCGCGCTCCTCGCGCCAGGAAGGGGAGTCCAGCGCCGATCCGAGAAGTCCGCGTGGACCTCCGAGAAATTGTACGTTGTGCCGTTTTTTGGCTCCTCGGTTCATGGGCCCCCAGAGGCCCTCGGATGGCCTCTCAAGACGGCCCCCAAGGAGCCCTGTGGACCTCTACAGGCACATATCTGGCTCTTCAGATGGCTGAGAGGACTCCCAATTCAGCACACTTCTTCCGCACTTCGCGTCTCACGGGGCCCGCGATTCGGGTCGGACGGAAGGAGGGACAGAGAACGAGAAGGTCACGAAATCTGCTGCGTGCAGCTGGTTCCAGCCTCGCCGCCGGGCGATTTCCTTGATGCGCGGACGCCTCTGGCGCTGGGAGGCGCCAGAGAAATCATCTACATGAGCTGATCCGCCAACCGCCCCTTCTAGTACCCCCACTCTCGTCCGACCCGACAGCTGCCCTCATGGGATCGCAAGGCCGCCCGCCACCCAAGGGACACCAAAATGCCCCTGAGGACAAAGTTTACAATCCGTACCGACTCCGTAGCCCCGAACACCTCTACGACTTCGACGCCTGATCTGATAGCTGTCGCTGCAGAAATTGTCATGAAATGCCGATGCTTGGCAAACTGAGCCCGCTCCAAATGTTGAGGAGGATGTGTATGAGATGGTGCTTTAGCATCCACGCCGTGTGGCAGCACTTCGACGGCCCCGGGGCGCTGCCAGTGCCCGGCCAGAGGCCAAAGAGCGGTCGCTTGAGAGCTGTCCGCCGTGTGCGTTTCGAGATATCCGGTCTCTGTCGGCTGCCCCGGGGCGCGCGCCCTGCCCCCGGGGCACTCCCCGGAGCCCGGACCTCCCTGCACGCCGCTCATGGCCTGATAGGGGCCGCCTTCCTTCTCCCACGGCTCTCGTCCTCCTGCCTCCTTCCTCCCTCCTGCCTCCTCCCTCCTCCTTCCTCCCTCGTCTTCCTGCCTTCCCCTCCATCTTCCTCCCTCCTTCCTCCCTCCTCCCCCTCCATCGTCCTCCTTCCTCACTCGTCCTCCTTCCTCCCCTTCCTCCTCCCCTGGGTCGTGGGGCCCTCCTCCGCGGCCGCCGCTCGCCTCCGCCTCGCTCCCTCTGTGCGCAATCCAGCTGTGCATCAGCCCTGTTCGGCCCGACAGACTCGCCCGATCGACTCGAGCACTTCTGAGAACCCTGAGGTCCGACGTTACGAAACATTGCCACGTCTTCAAAGAACACGACTGGGCTCTGGACCCTACCTTT